CCTATATGAATTATTGTCAGTTATGAAAACCTGTTTCTTTCAGGAAATCAAATGGCAGTTTCCAAGTTTTGAGCAAACAGGAGACAATCACCAGCCAAAGCTAAGAATTAGCAGAACTCATCCTCAAGTGCCATTTGTTGCAACCCCTGAGATTTTTGTTTGTTTCTCCTGCAGAATCCAAAATACTTTCTATGATAATGTCACTCAGTTTCTTAGGATATGTACGTCTTCATCGTTATGTAATTAAGTAAAAGGATTGCCATATTTTTAAAAGCCAGGAAGTAAAACAACACAGTGAAGTAGTGAACACAATGAAAAACCTGGAACCAAAACCCTTGTATTCTTGTAAAAATTAAGTACTGCATGAAACACAAGGATGCACACCCAAATTGTACACGCTGCCATTTATAGGAGAATAAAGTGGTAAGTGTGTACATTTAGAACAGTCTTTTTCTGGCTGGGGAATTCTGGGAGTTGAAGTCCCCACATCTTAAAGTTGCCAAATTTGAAAAACACTGATTTAGAGGTATGGCTCTCTGGCATTATTAGTTAATACCAATAGTGGTCTTTACACTTTGCTTCCTCCTCTCCTTGTGAATGTGAAATCCAGCCAATTAAATTAAGCAATGTTTTTTCTGTCACACAGAAAAGCATACTGTATTAAAAACACTTTTAAAAAAAATATAACTTCGTTAAAATGTTTGCATGAGAAAAAGAGGCTGCAGCTAGTATTTTACTTTTGGACACTGCTGTTCAATTAAATCATTTGCTGGATTTTGTGGTGATGATTTCCCTGAATTATCTGTGACTTCAGAAAAGGGGAGCAGAAGCTTTCTCAGGACAAGTTTTATGCTTGGTGTTTAAATATATACTGGAGGCTTTACACTGCAAAATAAGCAGGCTGGAACAAAAAGGATTTTTAAATTTTTTTTTAACTCTAAACTATGCCAACTAAGAATAGTTAACATGAATAACCCCATAGTGTTATATTTTGAATGTATTCCTTATGCTTATATTCGGCTACAGTCACAAAGCAATTGTAAACAGTTTACTTACATCAATTCATTAAATACACCCACACAATACTACACAATGTAACAACATAGCAATACATAATCAAATCACATCCCAAAATAACTAATCATGACTTACTGCAGGTGGGGTGGGGTGGGGTGGGGCAGAGCATCCCAACTCTCAGATCAGATCCCCAAGGTTTTCTGGACAAGCCAGGTGTTAGTGGCCTTCTTAAGTGCCAACAGGATTGGGGCTAATTTGATCCCTAGAGAATGTGTTCCACAGAAAGAGGGCAGCAAGAGAAAACCCCACCTTCTTTCAGATGAGAAGACCAGAGCGGAACCTTCCCTTCCAGATCGTGCTGGATAGGCAGATACTGCTGGGAGCAGGTGGTCCCAAAGATAACCATGTAACACATTAAAGGTGACAACCAGCACCTTGAATTGTGCCCTGAAGCCAACTGGTAGCCAGTGCAGCTCTTAGAAATGTTATTGTGCAAAATGAGATGTACCCCATTCTGAACCAGCTGTGGCTTTTTGGTGGCCCTTGGTAGAGCACATTGAGATGGTCCAACTGAGAGGTGAATCAAGGCATGAGTGACTGTAACCAGTTTCCTGAGCTAGGAATTGGTGCACCAGATGGAATTGTGCCAAGGCCCTCCTGGCCACAGCTGCCATCTGCTCCTTGATCAGCAGCTGTGATGCATGTAATATTTAAGCCAATATTTTGCTTAAAGTTGGCTTTCCTTAATTATTGAAACATTTTAAACCACTTTGGAATTTATTAGTATTGAAATATCATTGTAAAATGGAAAACGTCCAGGATGATGACAAATCCCAACCCATGCACGGAGAACCTTGTGTACATAAATGTGAGCACCCGACAAAGCTCGACAGCAGAAGGCAAAAAACAAAAATGAGAGAGATCTAAAGGATCTACCAAGTTATGATAGCTGCTAAATTGCCTTGTCCGGTTTTCTCATCATGTATGCTGTGGGAATAAGGTTTCATAGGCTAGCTTGAACAAAGATGCTCCTGATGTATGTGTATAATAGTTTGATATATATGTGGAAATTCCCTGGCTAGAAATTAATGTCTACAAAAATGGGATTATGTGACTAGAATGGGACTGGGGGAGGAGTACAAATTTCACACCAGCACTTTAACACTGAAACCCTGAATGAAGATCTTGAAAGGGTTATCGTGTCTTACTTCTTTTTAGCTGCTTGTATCTCTGCTGCAGAGCTATTATTGCCTCAAGCTTTCCAGCATGTTTCTGCAATTTCTGAAATGGCCCTAAGAGAACTAAAGCCAATAGTCCATGTTTCCAGAGTTTCTTGATGGTCAGGAGGAAATTCTTCAGCAGGAAGCAGGTACCTAACAGAAATCTGTACGAATTTAAATCAGTGGGAAACTTAGTACACTTCCTCATAGTAGTTTGGTGCCACTTATGAATCAGTGGTGAGTCTGTTATTTTCACACTGGTGGAAATGGAACAATTGAAAAAACTGAAGTTCACACTCAACTGGGCAGCTGAACCAATTAACTTCTGTATCTGTTTGGCAGGCAGAATAATTAACATGTAATTTACAAGTGATAACTGTGAAAGTTGCCAGATCACTGCCCTCTTCTGCTTAGAAATTAAGATGGGCAGTGAACTAAGCAAATCAGATTTTAGATCCTGGAGCAGTCTAAATATCACATAGAATCTTGCTTTCTTTGCAGTAGCAATCCCACCGCCCCAAGGATGTCACACAAAACAAAATAACAACAAAAAACTAGTAGTGAAATTAAAGGCCTATAATAAACCTTGATTTATCAGACCTTGACACAATGGATTTCATGTGATATGGACCAAATGTCCATATTACTTGCAATCATTGTGATGATGTACCTTCTGATTCAACGATCAGGAACAAAAGAGCTCCTCCCCAAATTTCACTATAATATATTGTATATATTTGTTTTGTATTTCCTCATATAGCAGTAGAGCACTCTTCTACTGATTTTTCCAACACACCATTTGTTTCTGGGCAAGGTAGCTCTTGCTAGAGTCATCTATAAGGACCTGCCTTTTAGAGTCCATTTATAGCAAGTACCTATCACTTCATCTTGCAGCAATGAATCCCATAAATTAGGAATAACAGAATTCTCTTGTATCTATCAACTTCAGGAAGAGTAGAAATCTTTAATCTCACTGCTATACTTTTAAAGTTATTATTCAAGGTAAAAAAACCCAGTGAGCTGACCTTGACTTTTTTTTTTTCTTAGAGTTTTCCACATGTGCAGGGTCCACTTTTTGGGATCCAACAAATTTTGATCTGTTGGTTGTGACAAGAATTGACCAACCAGCTTGTTGTCTGAGCCTGATGTCATGGGCTGAGAGTGATTGGCCCAAAGTCACCCAGCCAGCTTTCATGCCTAAGGTGGGACTAGAACTCAGTCTCCTGCTTTCTAGCCTGGTGCCTTAGCCATTAGACCAAACTGGCTCTCTATTGAACTGATCTTGACTGGCCTCTATAATTAGTTGAGAATTACAGGGCTGTTGGCTAGACTGGAAGTAAAACAAAACAAAACATTCTGGAAGAAGGCAAATAACACTGTTACAAAACTGCATGATGCATCACTAGGAATTCAACATGGCCATGGCTGAAGGATTCTTTTACCTTACCTTTACTTTTGAAATAATCATTATGAAGTTGAGAATACATAAAAACCAAACAAAATGGCTGAAAGTTGATTGAGAATTGAAAATCAATCAATTACCTCGTCTCTTTTATATCAATACCAAACATACTGGGGTAGGGATAGATAACTAATGCTCAGGCTGATATCTATGAGCATCATTACCCAAGGTACTACATGCTTGAACAGATCTGAAGTAACTGGTGACTTCAATTTAACCTTTAGGTTATGTTAATCAATTATTTAGTGTATATATTCATCCAGAATTTAGCATAGTTGTAGTTAGCATTACTATCTCCTGATGCGTGCAAGCGTGGGAGTAATAATGCTAGATACAGCTATGGTAAGGTCTAGAAATACGACAAATGGATCAACTGTGGCATTCCAGAAGTGGACAGGAATTTCCACTGAATGCTACAAAAACTCCAGCAAATTGGAAAGTAAAAGAGCTATTAAACCAAATATTACTATTTACTTCTACTGATGTCCGTAACAGCAAGAAAAAACAAGAAACAATTTTAATGAGTTGTTTTTATTTAAAATGATTTATATAAGCTCTAAAAAAACAAATAGAAAACTTATTGGGAGGGAGGGTGGAGAGAGAGAATGACCCATATTACAAAAATAAATTGCAGAACAGTTGTCTTCTTCCAAAATAACATCCAGTGAACCTTTTATAACTGAAGACAAGTCTTTAAAGGTCTTAACCATCTTTAAACACAATGTAATGTCCTAAATATGAAAAAGTTCTATCTATGGATTTAAATATGTACTTCAGTTTTGCTTTATGCATTCTAGACCAATCTACTCAACATTTAACTAAATAAAAGTATAATGCCATTTAGTTTTCTCCAACCATAAACAATATTATCTCCAAATGTCTCTCCTTGGAATTTGGTAAAATATCTATGAAACTGCCATGATACAAGTTCATCAAAATCTTAAACTGATGGTATTGTAGTAACCTGAGGTAGATCTGTTGGAATAGTAGCAGTGTAGTGACTGTTCAATAGACGTTGCTCAAATTACAGGAAGACAGAAGAGTCGGTAGTGAATTTAACAGCAAGTCAGAGCAAATTAGAACCATATTTTCATCTGTAAGGAGCAATTAAACAAACCATATCTCTGTAAGAAGATAACATGCATTCTTGTGCAAATTCTTTACATTTCCCTAGAACTTGCATGCAAGATAAATTCATTATATATTGCGAAACCCCTTTAAAATGATCATTCTATTACTTAGCCTATGACTAAAAGGGCTGTTGACTTGGTAACACATATTTCTAAACTGAGGATTTATAAAAAAAAAAAAAAAAAGGAAAATTGGTAATGTGTCCTTTTTCTAACTTTCTTGTCTCTTCAAGTTTTAAAGTTAATTTTCATTATATACTGAGCTGCCAACAGGAAATGGAAGGAATGTGAGATTTACATCTTGATCCGCTTAGTAGAGAATCTTGCTTGTGATTGCTTTGCTGTGCATTTCTGCAGGCTTTGCTAATTTTGTGGTTATTGTTGTTAAAGACATCAATATGACAAAACAACTATAGAATTATGATTTATTTGTACATAAAAATGACTGAGGGGAGGATACCAGTATCTTTTGTGCTGACTTGCTAAATTTACCAAATGTAATTATTGTTAATAGATGCTTAGAGTTTGCTGATTCATGCATCTTTATCATTCAGGAACAATTGCTTTATTTCAGAAAAGAGGGCAACTGGACACTCATGAGCAAGCTATTTGATACAAATTGTTTCTAACATAAAACATCTCTGCTTGGCATCAGATAAAATTACTTGGGAAGGACAGTTAATCCGAACATGTTGGGATAGAAGTAGTGGAATATGCTTCCAACAGTTTGAATCTGCAGTTAAGAATAACATATAAGCTATATGCTAATCCCTAAGAGGCTATTCTATTTTTCTACTATAATGCACAGGAGTGACTATGTTTAGAATCAGTATTTTCCGTCACAGAATGTTATGCAGAGGAAAATGCAGAAATGTGCTCTTGGATAAGGAAGCTTCCCTGTACATATTAAGAGAAACAGGGCTGTGAAAGCATTATAAATTCTTCATTCCATCACAATTTATTTATAGAATCACATGACTGCCAGACTGATGTGGAAATAATGGTGCTTCTACTTTTGAGGTCTGAAGGCTGCTATCTTTAAGAAGGTGCCCTGTTGATTAGATTATTAAATATATATTGTTTTATTTTCCCTTTCTATCCATCCAAATGTAAATATTAATGAACATCCCTCCTAAAAAGTAAAGAATTTAAAAAATCACCCTTAAATTCTGATTGTCAGGCTAACTAGAAAGACCTATAACAGTGCTGCTTAAATTTCTATAGAATATATGCCATTCTGCTTTCTTGAGGAGGGTACATGCATCTCTTTCTTTCTTTCCAACTTCATTAGTTTTTGTGTGCTGCTCATGGGATATTGAACAATATAGCACTGAAAAGCCTGTAAGTGGCAATAAAGTGACCACTGCAATATTAGTATTTTTCTGTCACTATTGGGTGGCGTGTCCTGCACAACAGAAAAGGATGATCTGTTTAAGTAAACTATAGTCATAATAAAAACATTCTTCCAGCTGTGCTTGTAAATCACTGGTGTTTCCTTACTACTATAAGCACAGCCTTGTCTTTGAGGAAGCTCACAGTTCATTTAAGATATACAATGCCACAGCACCATAAAAATGGATCTGAATTATCTTGAGAAAACATTAACTTTGAAGCAATGTGTAGAGAACTGTGTTAACAAATACAAAAAAATTATGCTTTTCAGTTTCTCTCCAATGGATGTCCCCATGCTGAATGTACACAAACTCAGAAGAAAAAGACATGTCACAATCATGAGTGGATGATAGGTGGGGGTGTTACTGAATCACAAAAATTCAAGTTAATTTTTCAGAAATTATTTCCTGCAATGAGCCATAAGATAAGTACCCAGGGGAAACACACAACAACTTTATGAATGATTAGGACAACCGATGCAAAGCAGGTCGAGTTTGGTCTTCATTCATTGCAATAAAGCTTACAAAGAGGAACACTTGGTGGATTGACCCGTGCCACTGAGATGTGATGATGGAAGCTTTAAAGTTTCACTGCTAGAATGATTCACTCAGGAAGAGAAATAAACTGAATGAATGCAAAGTTTGAGTGCAACCTCTTATAATGACCAGCCATCTGATTTTGGAATCAATGCTTTTGTCAAAAGTATTTTAAGGCACTTCAGTAGGTATTTTAAATATATTTGTATCTATAAAAATAAAGTAAGTGCTGAGGCAACATTCATATATGATCATCTTCTGAATTGTCTCTATGTATGTACAAAATAGGACATATATACATTCACTGGGCTGTTCCATTATACTTTCACTGGTACTTTGGGCTGCCTTGTTAATTTTAGTGCCTGCAAAACATCAAACACAAGGTCAATTTGTTGCATTCATAAAAGCACAATTAAACAACAATAGCACATATTTTCAAAATAATTACTATTAACTGTTGGAAGATTTCCCAGGCACTGGCAACAGCAAGAGATGCAGGGTTCTAGCCTCAATTTATAAAGTTAATTCCTTGCAGTATTATTAGTTTTCTCTTCTTTTACTGAAATAATGTCAAGTACGAATTTAGGTATCTCTCAGATTACTAGAAGTCAAAGAAGATTCTAGCTTTGTTCCAAAAGGTCACATCGTAACTTCATGGTATCGTAGCTTGGCTTCAACATACAGTTCTTCCCTTTTCTCCTCCTATCATCCTGGGATCCATGACACTCTTTTGTTTCTCTGCCCTGCCTGGCAAAGCATCCTACCATTTCAATCCTGGCATTCCCATGAACATCAGATGAAATGAGACATCTACTATAATCTAAATAAGAAGGGCTAGTAACATTTATAAAGAGTGTAGGTCCTACTTTTATTGGGACTTTTCCAAGGAAAAACAGTTATTTTGCCCCTACAGAAGAAAAAGAGGTATCAGAGCATGAGGCATCCAAGATGCTACGTTGACCTTATAGAAACTATGGTTTTTCTTTCCCAAATTTGATTACAGGATTAAGTGTACTTGATCATGGAAGTAAAAGTTCAGAGATTTCACTTATGTATTGAGAAAGTAAGATCTTTGTTTTGGTATGTGGCACATTCTGCTGCACCATTTCTCAAGCAGAAAACCCTCTTGTTGGTGAAGCTTTAAATACTTAAATTCTGTTTCATTAGGAGATCACATGTCGGTATTATAATTAAGGATTTCACTGAAACTATGACTTTCTGCCATAAGACAAGCACCAAAACGAAACCAAGGAAATAAGCATCAAAATCTACTGTAACTATTTCTTTTAAAAAAATCTGCATGTAATCTTAACCCAAACCCATCCTACTACAATGGTGCCTATCTTAAATTGTGCAGAGAAGCAAGAGAAAAGGGTGACATCATGCTTTGAGACCCCATTTATTTATTTACTTTTTCAGTGTGTCAGATTGTTAATGTGCATCTGTGTTTAGCACACAAATATTATTTTTTCTTCCTGGCTGTTCATGCAGCTGATTTTCTCAGAGCAATCTAGAATATCCTGCTGGAAATATAGTTCAGAAGAGTTCTGTTGGTCGTCCTCTCTCCAGCAGAACAGAATCTGAAGTGGCTTTTCTGCCTGATTATGTTTTAATAACTGCTGCTTCTCCCCCAGCTCTGGATTAGCCCATCCCATCTCTAAATCCCCACTACTGTACTATCTAGCTAGGCTGGAAATATTTTAAATGTGCACTCTTCTACAAACCAACAGTCCATTCAGAACATTTGAGCCATCCAAACACAGTGGCTAGAAGTATCCTCAATTGTGTCCCAAGGTTGGGATAAAACATTAGTTCTGTCTCAGTCCTGGAACACCCATTTCAAGCTAGAAGTGGTTTGAAACCAGAACGTTTTGCACACTCCTAAGTTTCTCCAACATCACCGAGACTGCTTTTTGGACATTTTATTCCAGCATTAACAATTTAGTGGTAAATCATAATTTTAAGTAACTGGTTATCTTCTTTATCCCAATAATGAACTTTGCATGTGGTCATGATTTCTTACCTTTTGTCTAGAAATCATCCAAGATTTTATTGTTGGTACCAAAATGCTGCCAAGGAGGATCTGGGCCGGGTGATAAATAAGTAAAGGGACTGAAATTAAGGACAGATGCTCGTAACCTTCAAATACTATCTTCAGCATTGGTATACCTGTGGGCAGAAATATAATTAAAATTAAGAAACCTTTGATTATTTTTCTGAGCTAAGGATCATGGAAATGCATTTAACTTTTAAAAATTTTTACTAAAATTTGAAAAAAAAAATCAAAAACAGATGGCCTATTTATAATAACAGAAGGCACAAAGAATGAAGTAGTAAACTAAAGGGAGATCATTTGATGATAGCACAACATACAATCAAATATAATAATAATATAGTATAGTCAGAGTCTATTATTATCATACAATAATATAATAATAATATACTATATAATAATTATAATATTATCATATAGTAGGTTTTGGTGAGGAATATATTTGAGTTGTCCTCCTCCCCAGTGGGCCTGCCATGCACTCTCCTGGACTTGTCTGTTTTTAGCCGCTTTTATCTGATGCTTTTAACCCTAGGTGTAAGCTACCCAGAGTCACTCTGTGTGATGGGAAAGCAAAGGTGAAAACAGGACTGTTGCAAAAGAGATACCTCGGCCCAGAGGTGGGGAAAGTATGAGGAAGAGGCTCAGAGCAACTCCGCCTTAATTATGCCAGGCATCGGTTGAGCAGGAAAATTGCTTTGACAGGCTTTCAAGATTCTGTTGCATTACCCTGCTAGCAATAAAGACCTTTCTAGAAAGATCTTCTCTCTGAGATTGCTGGCCTTGTAGAGCTTTGACACTCTGTGACTGAGGCAACATAGAAGTTGACAAACATTCTATAAATAAAGTACACACAGGAGAAAATATGAAAAAGTGGCATTTTAACGAATAGGAAGTCATGTGTTACAAGAGTGAGCCAAAAGAGACAAAGACGTCGAAAAAGTAACGCTTGAGAAATAATTCCCATTTAGGGAAATTAAACATGCACTATTGCTACGATGCTATAAGGTGGGATGATGGGTGGAGCTAAGATGGCGACGGAGCAGCAGTTTCCCTGCTGAGCTCCTTAGGAAGTTTTCTTTGGTTTAACTAGCCTAGCTACGCCTAAGGTGGGATGTTTTGTTTTTCCCTTTTCCCTTCACTTCTTTCTGTGATTAAATTTTTCTAATTAGGTATTGCTATACATAATCCCGTAACGTAGTAAGCATCCAGGACTTATTTCTTTATTTACATAACTCTAGTGCAGTGTGTGCTGAATCAGGTCTAATTTTTTTTAAAATACTATAGCGATTTTTGGTTGCTCTTGTAAGCTTTCCACAGTATAAACATTGCTAACATAATCAATGTATAAGAGCAAATCTAAAAGAATTTTCTTTGAGCTTTGCACTCATTATAACCCTCCATTATAAGTTCTTGATAACAACAGATCAGGTTGTTGTTTTATGAGATAGGCACATGGGAGTTGTATCGTCTCAAATTTACTAACAGAGAAAATCTGTTTGATTTTCTATTTCAGCATATGGCAGCAGTTTGCCATCATTTTAATCTATACCTTTGATAGGGGCTTTTTAATTAAGAAATTCATATAGCGTCCAGTCCTGGATAGAATATCTGGATCTACTTATAAAATACATACATGTGAAACCAAAACCCAGAGAAGAAGCTATAAAAACTTTTAAAGGCATAGACAGGTTGGTTTTAAGCTTTGTAAGTTTTAACACTTGGGTGGCATGACAGCTGCTCTATCCTGGGGCAGCTGCGATTTAGGGGCCATTTTCAAAGGTCACCTCATGAAGAGTCCATTATAATAATGCAGCTTTCCACAACACACATTCTCTCTGTGGATGGCTTTTGGATTCCAAATGGCTGAAGGTTGTATCATATGATCTTTAGTGTTTTCTAATCCAATTACTCTAAGAAAAGGCATTTTTCAAATAAACAGTGGAGCTGTGTGAAACTTCAGTTCAAAGGCAATTTGATCGAATCACCCCTTCAAACTAATCTTCAAATTGATTCAATGTGTCAAGTTGAATCAGGTGCCTTCAAACTGATTCAGAGATTCAGTGGAGTTTTGTGATTGTACCTCTAAGCTTTTATCGAATTGAACTGACTCTTTGAATCAAATCAAACTTACAAATTTGATTCAAAGCTCAGGTGATTTGCACATTTCTAATACGCAGTATCCATATTTTTCCCAATGATCACAGTTTTGTTATCAAAAAATCTTTCTTGGTACTAACAGTCTGATTTTAGTATTTTAGTCTTTAATTGTAAGTAGATTGGAAGATGGCAGCCGCAAAGCAAAATGGCAGCTTCTAGACTCACACAGGCCACCCAGACTTCCCTAGAAAATAAAAGTGGTTGGTGCCTGCAGCCTGGTTTCTTATTTGGAAATGTGTTCACCTGCTCAGAAAAAAGGGCAAATAAAAAGGAGCCTCATTAATTTGTCTTCCGGTAAATGGATATTTTACAAGTAGCCATATGCACAGAAAAAAATTGGCTGTTTTGAGTGCCATTACTTTGAACGTTCTGGGCTGTTCTGCATGCTTTATTGCTGATGTTTTTTAACACCAGCCTAGGTAATTCAGCAGTAGGGAATGGTCATGTCTCTGCTGCTATTAGCTTGGACTGGATACAGGCAGTGGTGGCGTTCTGAACATGGCTTAGGGCTGAAGAGCTACTGTGGGCCGTCCTCTAACTGCTGCAACCAAATAACTGAGGACACGAGTGATATTTTCAGCTGTAAATGCCAATGCAACTATTGTACTCTGTAGCTTTGGATGGATTTGTTCAGCACTGGAGTGCATCATGAACATGCTTTTGTGCTCTGTGGGCAGTGCATTTAGGGAGCATTTAGAACTGCAAAGATCTGTGGCTTTGGCTGGTTTGGTTTCTTGCACTTTAGTATCTTTATGCATTCTGTACATGTCCTTGTGTCCTACTGATGTTTAGTGTTAGGATACACTTATATTTGTAGAATTTGGGGCTGTAGAGTTTCAGTGTTGTTATATTTAGCATTAGTCATCAAACTTTGACATAGGCACAAATCCAGCAAAGAGCAACACACGAATTTTTTGTGGCAACGCAAAGCCCAACACAAAATAAAAAGCAAAAAGCCCCTCTGTTGCTTTAACGTGCTTAGCTGAAGATTGAAAGTCTTGGCTTTTTGCTACTTACTGCCTACCCTAAATAAAAATTAATTAATTAATTAAATGAAACAATTTTAAAAAATCCACAAAAGAAAAAATTGATGCACAAAGATTGTGCCCACTGGCACAGAAAGATTCTCTATCTCTGTTTCAGAGCACACATGACTTCAGTTTAACCTAGTAGAAAATCAACCGTAAGTATATGCTCCTAATGCTGATACCCCATACAATTTCACATACAAGCCATCTGTTCCTTGTTTTTTTCACAACTGTTTCTTTTGCAGTAACAATATTCCATGAAAATAGGATGCTGAACTTCACACCATTTTTAAGCTATAATTGTAAAAATAAATTGGCAAATTCCATCTTGCTCTCATTGAAGCTACAGAAATGAACAAATCAGTGCTAGTGCTTCTGATACTGATTCTGTGCCACCATGGTTGACAGAATCCAAGCAGGCTTTAGGAGATGGCATTTGACTTTACGGCACTCTGCGTGCATTTTACAATTTTACAGGGATTTTAAAACTGACATGCTGAAGAATGTTTATAAATCATTACTAAAAACGCTTCTTTAATACAATGCATTGTTTGAAAGATGTTAGGAGGCACATATTGTAAATGGTTTTCTTTCTGACTAATGTTATTTATACCAAAAAACATTTCCCCACTGTGTACAAGTATAACCAAGAATAAATAAAGAGCACCATCTCAGCACATTACTTACTACCTGATCCAATCGCTTGGGAAATCACTAATGTACAGCACATCCTATTTCCATGTTACACATGACACATTTGTCTAAAATTACTCAACAGACTTTGACATTGCAGCACAGAGCTTTCAACTGCCATCTCCTAAGCAGGAACTCTACATAAGAGCAACAAGGATCTAAGGGTTTCTTTTATCCTTGACCCACAGTAACAAAGATGAAACATGAAGAAGTTGAAACATGAAGAACTGAAGCCCACATTCTCACTTCCCTCTGTCCATTCCTCCATTCTGATATTTTTATTTTATGTACCTTGATTTCTATGATTTCCTCAGAGTAGCAACTGAAATAAGGGATATTCATCATATAAATGCACATTTCTGAAATTATTGTTAGGTCTAATTCTTACTTGTTCTAATATTTGTATTTCTATCTCTTAATTAATTGTGTGAAAGCAATTCATCCTTTTACTACTGAATCACATTCTAAATCACCTTCATATATTTATCATATTTTACTTAAATATACTAGATAAAACTCTAGAGAAGGTGGCTACTTGTAACATTGATGCAGTGGGGCAGCCTTCCCAACATGACAACTATCTTGACTCCATCATGTCCAATCAGCAGGCTGGCTAGGGATGCTTGGAGTTATATTCCACCTGAAGAGTGGCACCAGACTGAGTAATGCAACAAAGGACAAAAAACTTCTGTGGTAAAAAAACAAAACAAAACAATATGACTTTTCTGCCCATAAAAAAGCTTATCTCCTGAACAGAAACAGAAAGGCAACCCACTGAGGAGCTCCTTTTACACGTTCTTTTGACAAAACAAAAACTTGTTGGCCCATTTAAACAGGTCTAAACCAAAGCTTGTAGCAATGAAAGATGTCTACTTTATATATTATTGTAATGAAGGACACACTACTTTAGACACCTGGAATAAAAAGGTAAGTCAAAGGAAAAGTTAAAACACAATATAATTTGGCTTCACTTGTCAGTTTGATATTACTGTCAGGCAATAATAGGTACTAAAAGCTTGCAACCTCACTGCTATATGAGAGACACACCTTTTGGTGGTTTAAAGCAGCTACATAGACGTGTGTGTGTATGCATACCTATAAAAGCATCAAAAGCTGCACAGGGCATGGAGGGGGTGTTAATGCTATACACACATTAAGCCTAGCAGAGGCTTGACACATCTATTTCAGTTCTTATTTTCTCACATGCACAAATAAAACAAAAATAATTGATGCCAAAA